CAGCAGAAGAAGACAAAATCTTATATCTGCCCCTTTTTTCTCAGAAAAAAATCAATCAAAAATAAACTTAAAAAATAAATAAAAAAGGAAAAGAAAAAACATGAAAAGCAAAAGCAACAAATGTTTGACTCCATCTTGGACACAAATCTTTACATTTGTAAATGAAAATTTACATTTTCTTCACAGTGATTACATAAACAACTCCTTTCATGATGAGTTTGGACATTTTTTAAATGTGTAGCGTGTAAATAAAAAAAGTACTGTAAATGTACTTTGTTGCCGTACACCTCTGAAAGTGTGGTTCACTTGTTCACGTCTTAAAAAAATTCAAATCTTTTTCTGACTGAACTAATTTTGTTTCTCAAGGTTAAAATTTGAATCACCCCGAATTTTTTTTTTCTGTGAGATTTTACAAATGACTCCAGTTTGCACTTACACCAAATGTTTATCATCCTTACTGAAATGTAGGAAGCTTGAAACCACACTATGTTATTGCTGAACTGTGTGACGTCATGTACATCTGAAGTGAAGTTTAAATTGAACTACGTTACAGATTAGGGGTGTAAGAAAATATCGATACACAGAAATAGCGCGATAATCCGTTTCCTGAAGTATAGATTCTCTAAAGCACTGCATCTATTTTTAATTATGGCWAGTTAAAACATAAACATTTATGCCAGCGGTTCATTCTTGTGTTGTAGTTTAGCCTCCGACCACTAGAAAGCAGCAGTCAGCCAGCCGTTTGGCTCCTCCACTCCTAAAAAAACAATCATTGCAATATATTGTGATATATCGTATCATATGTATCATGTCATCAGATTCTTGCCAATACACAGCCCTATTACAGATGAGTAATTGGTGTAAATTAAGATAACATCTCTTTCTTTCCCTCCTGTTGACAGAGCAACTCTCGCTTTGAAGAAGACTGCGAAGAAGGAGAGCCAGGAACATTTAAACAAAATAAAAAACGGGTAATTAAAGAAAAAATTATACTAAACGGCAATGAACGTACGATAAATCAAGCTCATTATTTGCCTGAAAGTGTTTTTTCCATTCAAAAAGTAATTAAAATAGCCTTTTTGTATATACAGTGGTTTGCAAAAGTATTCATACCCCTTGAACTTTTCCATATTTTGTCACATTACAACCACAAACATAAATATATTTCACTGGAATTTAAAAAATACCAACATGTTTTGTATAGATGAGGCAAATTTAAATTAAGACATTTAAAG